CTCCCAGCTCCCGGGCCCTCCCAGCTCCCCGCTCCCAGCGCGCCCCGGCCCCACTCACATCCGCTCCTTGTGGTCCAAATTCCGGACCAGCTCGTCGCGCTGGTTCACCAGCGACACCAACTCCTCCAGCAAGAGCTGCTCCCGGTGCTGCTGCGCCGCCGTTTTCAGCCAGTCTGAGGGCGGAAGGGGCGGAGGGTCAGGAGGCACCGGCCGCGGCCCTGTCCTCCACCCAGGCCCCTGCGGCCCCATCTCCCACCTTCGATGGCCAGCATGGCCCGTAGCTCCCGGCTCAGCAGCTCGAACCTCCGCTCCAAGTCCTGCTCCTCGATGCTGGGAGGCGGAGGTGCCGGTCAGGGGAAGGGGAACGGGAGAGCCACTCCCTGGCCCCCACGCACCTCACCCCCCAGTTCTCCCGAGGGCTGGGCTGAGGGCACAGCTCTATCCTGGAGTCAGCCATCTCTTTTGTTCCAACTGTTCCCCAATTGTTGGAAGTGTATATTGTCTCCTCCCACCCCCACCCCTTTTTATTTTTAATTATTGATTTGAGAGAGAGAGAAACATTGATATTGTTGTCCCACTTACATATGCATTCATTGGTTGCTTCTTGTATGTGCCCTGACCAGAGAGCAAACCTGCAACCTTGGCCTGTGGGGATGACTTTCTAACCAGCTGAGCTGCCCCGCCAGGGTGCCCCGCCCCTTTAAAAATACAAAACAGCCCTGTGTGTTGCTCAGTGGGTTAGAGCATCGCTCCCTGCACTGAATGGTCGTGGGTTCAATCCCAGTTGGGGGACATATGGGAGGCAAACCAATGGATATATCTCCCTCTCTCCCTTCCTCTCTCTCTCGAATCAATGAAAAAACAAACATATCCTCTGGTGAGGATTAAAAAAATAATAAAATGAAATAACTCAGTGGGATTATTTGCATGAACATTACTCATAAACAGCAAGTGTTAAATTAAAATTATTCTGAAAAATGATCCAAAATGCAGGACTACAAAGGCGATTGTTGCCAGAGTGGCTTCTCTGATGCCACTGGGGAAACCAGCTCAGGTCTCTCTGGGCCTCAGCTTCCCTAACTGTAAAGGAACAGGGTCAAACTAGGGCACTCAGCCCCGACCTGTCCACACCACATTTTTCTCTCATTAGTAAAATTAGCACCCATTTAAGAGGTACACACTTTAAACAGGAAATTGGGGGAGGAGGGGAATAAGATGGCTGAGCAATTTTTCAAAAAGATCTTCATAGAGAGAAGAAAGCAGTGAGTTGCTCTCATCAAAGGAGCAGAGCTTCTCTGCTCTGTGGGCCGGGGGTGGCCGGGTGGGGCCTGGACAGCGCGGGGCCGGCACTCACAGCAGCTGCAACTGGTCCTGCCTCCGGATGAGAGCGTTCTTCTTGTTGACCAGTGTGAACCACTCCTGGATCAGCACCTCCTCCTGCAGCTTGTTGGCACCTGAGCCCGGCCTGACAGTCACCAGGCCTGCCCCTGAACCGGGGTTGGGGGTGGGGGTGGGGGCGCTCCCTTATGGCATCCCAGAAGCCAGAGCTGTGTGTCTCCAGCAAGCTGCTTCCCTGCTCAGGGCCTCAGCGTGCCCAGCTGTAAATGGGGACGATGAACCCAGCCTTGCCTCCCCCCAACTCCTCCCAAGGTCAGGAAGGGCTGCAGGACTGGGCAGATCGGGTGGCATGTGTTGGGGAGTGGACTCGAGATGCCTGGCCCACCTGATGCCATAAGGCTCCTCAGCTGCGTCTCCACCTCAGCTGCCCGCCCATCTATCTGCCTCTGCTCCTGTTCCAGGGCCTGTAGCTCTGCGCACACGTACTGACTTGTGTCCTGGAACCGTTGCTGGGGTAAAAAGGGAGAGGGGACAGGGTGGATTCAGCCCAGGCCCTGCCTAGGAAGTGCCCACTTATCAGCTCCTCCCACCTCAGCCCACCTTACCAGCCCAGCCTCTTCCCCTGGGTTTGGGGATGGCTCCTCCAATGGGGGACTGCCACCTGCAGACAGAGACCAGGCTAAGGCACCTCCAACTGACACCTGCCCCCAAGAGGCCCCCAGTGCAGGATCAATGAGCAGCTGGAGTTGAGCTGGGTCCACTCCTTCAAAACGACTCACCAGAGGGCTGCTGTGGGGCTGGGGCTGGGGCTGTGGGTGGGCTGGGGGCAGGGCTCAGGCCTTCCTGTGGAGGAAGGAGACAGTGACGGCTTGGAGGGGTTCCCCAACAATGCCACGCTGGACCCAGCCAGAGCCTTACACACGGAGGGAAGGACCCGCAGTTCCATACCCTGCCCATCCAGCTGTGTCTCCAGGCCTGCATGCACAGCACCCCAGCCCCTAGCTCCTCTAGGAAGAATCTCCATCCCTGGCCCTGTGGGCCTGGCCAGTCGACTCCCACTCTCTGAGCCTCACCAACCTTGTCCCTGGGTCCCCACAGAGTATTGGTGAGAGTCAGGGGTGAAAGGCTGTGAAGCGGCCAACTGCGGCCTCTCTTTCCGTGGAGCTCCCTCTCTCCGGCCACCTCTGACTCCTGTCACCTGGTGCTGGCATCTCCTTCATGGCCAGAGCCCCACACAGGGACAGAGCTGGCTGATGTGGCCATCCTGAGCCAGCACCTCCACTACTGACCAGAAGGGGGTGCTCTCCTGTTACCAATTTCTATGCCTAGAGCCAGCCCCACTTCACATATCACTCAGAACAGGAAAGTTGCCTGGAACTACCCATTTTAGACTGGAAGGGCAGGACTGGCCCCTGATGTGCCCTGCCCCTGGCGACTCCCGGGGACAGACCTGGGGGCCCCCAACTTTCAGCTCAGCTGACAGCCAGGCTCCATTGATGGCTCCTGCTCTAGGTCACCCCACTGTCCACCCCGCCCTGCTCCCCTCTGAGAGGGAGCCCTAGACACCCCTTGCTCAGGTGCCATCTCTCTGGCCTGAGTCAGTGGTGGCCTCCTCACCAGCCACTACCCATGCCCTGCCTGCTGACAACCCTAAGGCCACAACTGAAGGGTCTTCCTAAAACCGCCACCTCGCCAGCCCCCAGCCTCGTTGCCAAGGCCTACAAGCAGCTGCAGCCTCAACTCCCACTACCCTGAACCCCACCCAGTCGCCACCCTCCAGCTACAGTCCTGGACTTCACTTCCCCAAGTAGCTTCCTCAGCCTGGAGTCAACTTGACCTTCATGACCCGGCTCGCTCCACCTCCTCCAGAAGCCCCTTCGGGCTCCCAAACCGCTTTCTGCTTCCCTCTGTGACCTTCATGCCACCTGAAGCGCCCCCTGAGCCCCAGGCTGGGCAGATGCTTTCTCCGTGGCCTCCTGGGCCTCCCCCATCATAGCCCTACCCCCCACCCCATCATGGCTGTTGGTTACCCATGTCTCCCTGGCCAGAAGTAGCCCCTGAAGACAGGGTGGGGCCCAGAGAATGCACTCAGAGTACACTGATTAACCTAAAACATTATTATTATATTCTCATTAGAGAACAGCTGACATTGATTCAGCATTCATACGCTGGGCACTATGCATGTATTAGCTCATTTAGTTCTCCCAACAACCCTGAGAGGCAGGGACGACTACTATCCCCACTTCACAGATGAAGAAATGGAGGGTCAGAGATGAGGCTCATACAGAGCCTGGCCCGGGGCCCAGGGCTGTCTAATCCAAAGGTTTGTTCCCAGCTTGGCCACCGATTTGCTGCTTGCCTCTGGGCTGCACAAAACCCCTGGGCCTCTGTCTGTGTTCTTGAATGTCAGATGGGAAGGAATCCCAGCCCTGTGTAACCTGGACTTGCAGGCTCCAGGAAGACATTGAGGGAAAACACAGGTCCCGTTTTAGAAAGATCCCCGAAGTGGGTTTCAAGGCGACTCTGCAAAGAACTGTCATGCCTTTGCCTCTCATCGCCAGGAAAAGAGCACAGGTCAGTGGCTTTCCCAGGGTCACACAACCAGTCACTAGTGCTGGGCCCAGAAGAAGGCACCATTTAGGAGTTGAGGCTCAGAAGCTGGGTTCACACCTGTATCAACTCCCTTTGCCTCTTTCATCCTCTCCCTGAGCCTCAATGTTCTCACCTGCAAAATGGGAGAGTCATTCCTCCCTGGAAGGAAGGGGCATTGTGAGGAGTCAGTGAGGGCTTGTGGAGGCAGGCAGGGCACACAGCTAGAGCTCAACCACCAGGCAGGCAGAGGCAGGACAGTGGAGAAACCCCAACCTCAGCAGCCACTGAGCTTACTCACACCAGCCCTGGTGGGAATTCCAACACTTCCTCATGTCTGGCCCAAATTCCCCTTCCTACGCCCTGATGTATGGCCCTTGCTCCGGGAAGCCTTGCTGAACCGCGCCAGAGGCATCCTGCCCTCCTCATGGCATGGCTTCAGTCCCACCCCAGCTTCGAGGTGCCTGACTTCATCCTACTCCAGGGTATGGGGAGTGCCCAAGGGTGAGGCCAGGCCTGACATTTCCCGGCTGCACACAAGAAGCATGGGGGATGGGAGAGGCCAAGGAGGAGAAGTCCTCTCCAGTCCCACTGGTCAGATACCTCCTGTGGGACAGGAGCAGGAAGAGGCCTGGCTTGGAAGGACCAGGTACTGAACTTGGGCCCAGAAGACTGTAGGATGAAGCCTCCCCTTTATTTTATTTTTTAATATTTTGATTAATTTCGGAGAGGAAGGGAGAGGGAGAGAGGATGGAAACATCCATGATGAGAGAGAATCATTGATTGGCTGCCTCCTGGTCCATAGGTAGAGAGATGCTCAACCACTGAGCTACGCCACTGGGAGGCCACTGCCATTCACAAGGCTGTGTCCAGAGGCCAACAGACTGGCTAGGCCGGGTGGCGGTGCCCCTCTGACTCCTGTCCATCACACCTCCTATGGGTGCCTTTGGGCCTCCTGTCTCTCATCACGGGCTCAGTGCTGTGCCTCTGATGCTGCCCTCCAGGCTTCTGCTCCCCAGGCTGCCTCACCACCACCTGCGGACCTGACCCGAGAGGCCTGGCAGTTCCCTACGTGAGACCTGAGATGTCCTGCTGCCATGGTTTTGCTTGTGCGGGGCCCCTCCACTTTAGAACCGCCCCTCCCATTCTCCCCCTGGGAAACCTGCCTGTCCTATGGGCCTGGCTCAAAAAAGGCTTTCCAGTTTATTCCCTCCTTTCCTGAGAACTCAGGAGCCATCCCCGGGCAGCTGAAGGCTGGAGTGGCCTGACGGGCAGGATGATGTAGTGGGCGGACCCCAGCTGGAAGCCCATGGCCTGGACTTCAGTGGCTCTGAGTCCTTGAGTAAAACCCTGCCCTCTCTGGGACCATCTCCCCTTTAAGATCTGTAGTGACCACGTGACCCCCTCCCCCCACTCTGACCTGAGACCTGCAGGGGCTGAGGGTACAGGGGTGCCCAGCAGGGTCTCCAATCTCCAACCTCCCCTTATCACAGAAAAGAGGAAATTGGTCTCCAGCATCTGGAGTTAAAGACCCGAGTCAGAGAACGTTGGTGTTGGGAGGCCCTGCATGGCCCCCTTGGGTATGGAAACCTTGCCCCCACCTTGCAAGGCAGCGATTGCTACTGGTTAACCCGGGGCTGGGGCCACCTGCAGGGGAAGAAAGGCCCAGCCCACTCTAACGGCCACATAGAGTGCTGCCCTGAGTGCTGACAGCCTGGAGCCTTCTGGGAATTTCCTTCGAGAGCCCATGATTCCACGAACGGGGTGCCAAGACTTAGAGACCACCAGCAGGTGCCTAAGGCTGGCGGCCGCGGCCAGGGCTCTTCCCTGCAGGCGCTTTGGGCCCGGTGGGCCTTGCTGACTCCTCCGCCGCCAGCACCGAGGT